TGGAGCTTTTTCAAAAATGTATTTAAATGGAAAAAGATGAATTTTTTTTTGGTTTGTTTTAATATGGAGTGAAGGACGTCAAACCTTCTGATGGTTTCCTGTTTCTAGAATCAGAAAAGTAATTTTTCATCCAATAAAATCCGCCGGGTCACCTTTATTTTTCACTGCCTCGCCGTCTTAAGTTTGATGATTTTAATGAACTACGTTACCGACTTTAGGAAGCTTGATTTGATGGAAAGGTTTCCTAGAAACTAGCTGCTGTATTTGAGCATCAGATGCCAGGGTCGTCATGGAGACGCGTTTCCCCGGCGACAGAAAGACCCACCTGTTTCCGAGCCTTGGTAGAGCTGAGCCAGGAGGCCGTTCCCAGACGCCAGCAGACATTGAATCTGATTGGTCCAGCCTTCGGCTCTGCCTGTCCCCACCGACCTGTCCGCCAGGCCCCCCAGGCAGGGCAGGCGGCCGTAACCCTGGCAGGCCGTCTGAGGGAGGAGAGCCAGTTAACCAACAGGGGGAGGGGGGGACACATTTTGGATGGATTTTCCCAGGAAAACTCACCTCCTGCGTTTTCCTGTTAGCGCTGTCCATCTTAGAGAGGAAATACGCTCCTAGTTTGTCCTTCGAACAGAAGCAGAATGTGTGTCAGCGCTACGCAGCCCATCCCATTGGACAGGAAGTGAAGGACGCCTCACCTTCAGGGAGCCGCAGGCTCTGGGGTAGTAGATCATGCAGGCCTTCATCCCCTCCATGGCGGCCAGCTCACACTGACACCACAGGAAGAACCAGTTAGAAACCAACATCTCTCTTTGTCTACGAACCTTCAGATGAAACAATCTAACGCTACGTTCAGATCGCTAGCAGCAGGAGCAGCGCCTCATGAACGTCTGAGCCGCTTCAGAAGCAGCACATCCTGGACTTTTGAAAATGTTTGTTTAGCTGCTGGACGCGCCGCATCAACCATCAACCAATCAGAGAAGCTGATCTGGTAGCCCGCACAGAGACAGGCTTATCAGGCTGACGTAGAACTAACCGGCCTGCTTAAGATAACGAACAAAAAACTGATTTTAAGACAGGATTTTTTTTGTTGTTTTTTTTTTAATAGAATTTTCTTTTTTTATTTGGGCCAATAAAAGATAAAGAGAACATTTATTTACATGTTTAAGCCAGAATGAATTGACATTTAAAAATAATTTCCATACGATTTTAAATACAGTGGTTGTTAAAGCTGCTTTATCACCATTATACTAATTAAACTATTTTAATTAATCGTTTCAGTGTTGGTCAGGAGCAACAATTTAGAGAAGTGCTCTAAAATATCAAACGTAGAACAATAAATACTGCAGGTTCTTTCTCTAAGATCTTATAATGTTAGACTCATTAATCAGAGTCAGAAATTAAACATCCTGATCCGTTAAGTTTGCCTTTATTGTGAAAAACAAACGCCGCTGGCTGCTTCCTGTCTGACCGCGGCTGGTTTTTCTGAGTTTAGGCTCTTCTGGAGGAAAGCAGCTTCCTGCCTCACCTCCGACTTCAGGCCCAGAAGCGAGGTCAGGATCCCCAGGATGGAGTTGAGGCCGACCTCCCTGGCCAGCTCTGCTATCTGACTGGAGTACTGCAGCAGGTCTTTCAGGATATTTACAGCCAGCTGGATGGTCTGAGTGGGAGCCTGAGACTGCAGCACAAACAAAACAGGAACAAATAAAAACCTGAAAAGGTTTGAACACCAGCAGAAATGATGATTCCCAGAATGCATTCAGTAAAAATGATTATTTTTATTAATTATGGCAGCATTGGTCCTCCATAGAACCAAGAAGGTAAACAGTTTGATGAGGAAAAGCAGGTGTCGATCTTACCTGGATGACCTGCTGCAGGGAGCGCAGCCAGGAGAGGCAGTGCTGCTGGAACAGCTCACTGGAGCTGTCCTTCACCAGCATGGAGAGCAGGCACAGCCCCTCGAACCTGGAGGACACGGACACATCTGCATCACCTCTGCATCACCTCAGCACACGGACACATCTGCATCACCTCTGCATCACATCAACAGACGGACACATCTGCATCACATCAACAGACGGACACATCTGCATCACATCAACAGACGGACACATCTGCATCACATCTGCATCACCTCAGCA